TCCCTCTCTGCTATAAAAATACAAATTTTAAAATTATATATGAACTCTGATGAAACAGTTTGTCACAGCCCCTCGTTTGTTGTCCTCTTCTCCCTTTCTGCCTGCGGTTTATCGGGCGCCCGCCGTTTGTTGTCCTCTTCTCCCTCTCTGCCCACGGTTTACCGGGCAATTCCAACCAATTGCGAACTTGGGATCCTTAGGTGTCCCCACATCTTGGATCTGCTGCCTGCAGACAGTCTGTACGCTTTCTCCTGTGAGAACCCTCTACGTCCGAGTTCATTACCATTGACAGAAGTGGATTGGTTACCACTTGCCCGCTGGAAATTTTCTTAGTTGTAGATGATTATTACATTCCAATATTACCAACAGAATTGAGTACAACTGTATTTCAATATACTGTTTATGCTTCCAAAATACAAAGTTGGACGAATCTGGAAACTTTAGGAAATCTACTTTATACTAAGTTTATTGTAAGTATATACCACTTTATATATATATTGTTTTGCCCGGGCGGGCAAATTGTCCCGGTCCACTTTGGTAACCTTAGGTGTTCACTGTGTTGAGCTTAAACCACTAGCACCTCTGAGCCTATTTTTGACAAGTTCTTGCCAGCTCCCGAACTTTCAGGAGGCCGAGCCCGACGTTGATCAATCTGATCGGCGGCCGTCGTTTCGTTTCGGCCTCCTGAAAGGTCGGAGGCCGAGTATTTTCGAACCGACAAAGGTACTAGTGGTTTAAAAAAAAAAAAAAAAAGAAAGAGCTCCTTCTATTCTGGGGAGGGTAAGTCTGGTTCCTTTTCCTTGGTAAGTCGAACAGGGGAAACTCACACAATGCTCCTCCCCAACACAGTGCGTCCATTGTGTTGAGCTTCTTGTTTTCCTGCAAACACAGGTTACGAGGGAAGAAAAGGCAGCTCTTTGATTTGGTTGGCGATTTCCGAAGTTTCCTGATGAAAGTCCTGCGTGTAATGTGGAGTGTCAATGAAGTAAATTGAAATCTCTGTGGAAATTTAACATTGTTATCCATGTGGGAATTTACCCCTGGTGGTTGATGCGACCTTGGAGTTAAGATCCATGTGATCCAAAACCATTAGCTACATAGCTAACATAGTACCTCCGCCAGTGTTGGGAAAATACGATCTACTGATCTGTCCCCTAAGAAACCGGGATCCCAGCAGGGTCGGCAATGTCCCATAAATCTGAATTTCATATTGCCGCGAGTGAACGGAAAAAGGGGGGGAAAAAAATGCTTTGTCTACTGCAATGGTTTCGGGCTGGGTAGTCCAGGAGGCTGTGCGCACAATCTTCCTCCACAGAATGCACCTTACAGGTAAGGCGGTCACATTCTGAATGATACTGTTTTTTTTTTTTTCTTGCTCGTGTGTTTCTTATGAGTCCCCTGTCCGTGAATTGCCCAAGCTGTCCGTGATCTGCTCAAGCTGTGTTTTGTCAGAGGATTGTAAGCCTCATCACACTGGCACTTAGGGGAATGTATCCAGCCGTTTTCACGGCCGGATCCATGTGCCCGTTTTCCCCCTTTTTATTCTCTTTTTGGAATCTGACAACCTAACCACGGGGCTGAGATGCCCTCATTGAGGGCACACTCACACTACCATTTCCAAGAATGTATACAACTGCAATCACGGCCAAAGCTTTGTTTCCTTTTTTTTTTCTTCTTCTTTTCTGAGGTTCACGGCCACAACTTTTCTTCCTCTTTTTTGATTTTTTTTGTTCTTTCCGTGAGAGTACCAGAAAGAAAAGGGAGTGGTACCCAGGCTCGGCAAAACTCGGAGCGCAGTGAAATTCAGGGTCGGCAAAAACAGGCTCGGAGGTACTGGTGGTATAATCCGAATGAAACGAATGCCCTACGGTCATTACAGCCCTATTTGGGGCAAAGTTGAGTCAAGTACAACACGAATAACCGCACGTTGTCTTTGGATGAAGACGCTAAACCATGAGCTCGGCACGGTTAAGAAAATTGAAGGACGTAGGGGCCTGGTAGTTGCCAAGAAAACTACGTTAGAGGAAAGTAGTAGCATAAATTGAAAATTGTAACACAGTTTGGCCATCGTATCTGAGTCAAGAAGAAGCCTAGGGAAACAGTGAGGGAGAAGTGCGCGTAGCGGTAGGATAGGCAGCAGGGGTTAGAGAAGGATGACATTGGGAGGATTATTGCTGGGATTTTTTAACGAAAAAGCATGTTTTACATACGAGGTGAGAAATGGGGCCAGCGTCCCTTTCAATGTACAGGTGTGTCAACGGAAGTGTTTGACATCCCTTTCTAAATTGCCTGATGCCCAATGCCTTTGTTCTTGCATGTCACGAATATGGCAGGTGTTGGAGTTTCTTCCCGAGCTTGTCGAAGCTTTGGTGAACGAGGGTTACCATCTGCGGGAATACGAGGCTAACATATTCTTGCCCTGCCTCGTTGAGAAGGTAAATTTTAAATCTTTGTGTGTTCTTTTTTCTCTCCAACAAACAAACAATTCTATGAGGATCGGTGGGGGGCGGCACCTGAGTCCCTGAGTGAGTCGTGTACACCAAACTTAATGCTCCCGTGTGTTGCGGGCCAGGAACCCCCTGTCAGCATGGATTGCTTCCCTTGGGAATGATTGAAGCAAAAGTCAAGCCCATGCCTTGGATACAGTCCCCTCCCCCTAACAGTGCTACCCCTTTGGAAGAAACATGCACAAAACCAGCCAGCGAACTTGTCATCTTGTGAACTTCAGAGATGTGCTACCGCTTTGCGCCTGCTGGAAAGGTACACAATAAATCTTATCCTGCAAAATTTGAATTCTATGCGCGCTTTGCTTGTTCTCGTTTGTAGTTGAATTCATCTTCCTCAGGCTTCACGCCAATTTTACTAGGTAAGATTTTTTTGACTTGTCATGTTTTGCTGAGTCTTGATGCGTCTAGCGATTGACCAGAAACCGCAACAAGGAACACATGTTGAAAACAGGGAAAAAAGGAAAAAGGAATTTGCCAAGGCTGGGTTGCCAGATTCCTAGGGGGCTCTTGAAATGTACGAACAGGAACAAGTGGAGAGGGGTTCGAACCAACTGATATTTTATAATGCGTCAGTTTTCAGGACTGATACCTTCAACCACTCAGACACCCATCGAAACCAAAGACGCCCATTGTACCTTTCCACTCCAAACACGTCACCAGTGAAGATAAGATTCAGATATCACACCTACTGTTCGCTTGCTGCAATACCTGGGTTCTCTCCGGTCTGTATAGTCTAACCTCTAGTGAGAACTAGAGATGATTGGAAAAGGCCAATGAAACTTGGAGATAGCTGGTTTTCCACCAAATCTATTGAGGTAGAATGTGTGATCTTCATTGCAAGAGGTAGAGCACTCGATGGGCTAGTGTGGCCCAAAGCTTGACCATCCCCAAGGAAACTCCGAATGCTTGCAACTGAGCATCGCGCAGACGGACTTTGGGTGCTAAGATCCACAGTCAAAAGGGAAACAGCCCAGATCTTACGAACGTTATATCCTTCCTATGCCAATAAGAATAGAATTTATGCTCCCGATGGACCACATAGATAGATATACTTGCATTGTACTTGCATTTTACAATGCAAAAACCCATGGCAATTTTCACTACTACGCCTTTGCGGCTCCCCTGGCAGGCCTGAGTCGTATTACACGCTTATTGTGGTCTTCATGTGGTCTTACATTATCAACTAAACACAGACTTAGGTCTTTGACATTAAACAGTGTATTGGTTGGGCAAGGACAAAAACAGTGTTTTGGTTGGGCAAGGATCTCAAGTGCCCAGAAACGGGTACAATGTTCTATAAACCTAGCAATTATCATCGATTGCCGCACCTCCGTTAAGTTAAACAGAACCGTGCCGTATGGAATGGACGACTCCCAAGTGAAATGAAATGTGAAATAAATGGACGGGTGCAGCGTTGACTGTCACCGCAGCGAAGCGGCAGCCTATTTAATTTCATTTGGTGATCATGGGTTTCTTTTTACAATGGGGGGTTCTTTGGGGATCTCGTTGGGAGTGACTTCCTCCGCAAGGAAGCATAATCAACTTCAATCGCGCGATTCTCAGAGGTATGCGTGGTGGTTTAGTTGAGCGTGCATGTGGACTGAAGTTCGATCCCATTACAGAGTCAGGTATGCATGCATGTGGGCTTTCTGTTGCGAGATTGGATACGGAACTGGGAACCGGACTTTCGGTTTCAACTTTTTTATCCAATCTAATCTTGGTTGTGGAAGTGTGCATGCTGTCGGATTGAGGGGACCGAATGTCAAGGCAAGATCGGGATGTCAAATTGGGCGGTTGTAGACGTTGCAGGCTCCTCCATGTCCATAAAAAACGAACAGGCGGTTTCCAAGAAGATTGATTGTAGTATCAATTTGGCTTACGGATACTGTTACCGGATAACCGTATGTTTGATTGTATGTTTGCTGGTTCTGCAGTGTGGGCACAACATTGACAAGGTGAGGGAGAAAATGAGGGAGCTGATGAGGCAGATTTCCAGCATCTACCCACCTTCTCGGCTTTTTGCCTTCATCGTTGAAGGTGTGCGGTCCAAGAACAACAGAACGAGGGTGGAGTGCGTCGATCAGCTGGGATCAATGATTGATCGTCATGGTATTGAGGTACAGAGAAGATCCAACCACCTCCTCCACATCTTTCTCTCCCATCTCCATCAAACTCTATCACTGCGATCGTCACAGCTAATTCTGCAGTTCTTGTGTCATCGTCTGTAATTGTGCCATGTGCTGACATGTCTTGTTACACGATTATTGCGTCGATGCTATGCACGCATGTTTGTTTTACTTTGGAGGTGTGCTACGAGTCATTGCCAAACCTGGGCACTTGGTTGATCAGGACACTCTGGCTGCAGGGAAACCAGCAACGAGCGTAGGGTTGTTATCAGGACACTCTGCCACAGGAGAGGCTGAAACAGTAAGTGGTAATCCCTCTATGGGACCTGATGCAGATGAGCAGCTTCCTCGTGATTCCCCTTCATCTGCTGACTCCAAGGCTGCTCCAGATTCAATCCTTTTTGTCGAGTCTTGGGAGGAGTCCAGGATGATTGACTTTCACTATCACCTAGAGCTTTGGGCTGAGATGAAACAACGCCGTGCTAAAGGGACTGTGGAGTTCATCTTCACTATGACTGCAGCCATGCAAACGTTTAGATGAGACAGATTGTGTCAAACTTACTCTGGTGATTTGTTCGTGATCATCGACGTGATGTCATTTCTTTTTCTTTGTTTTTTAATTTCACTGCCAGTTACTGTGAACAGAATTATCAGCTGGTATAACAACACATACTAGACCCTTATTAAGACTCTGGCGATTGGTTGTGGCTGTATTTATTTTTATTTAGTTATTGACTGGTATTACTGCGGCCTGAGTGGTTGTGCCGATATCTCTGCCACTCCCATGGCATGGTCTCCGCTTCTGGTGAAAGAAATTGCCAAGAGTGTGGTGCGTGAAATGTACGAGCCACAGGGGTATCAGTGTTTGGTTGCAGACCATGTTCATCCATGTATATTCTGAGCGGGACGTTGTAACTGAAAGTTGCGTCCTTTTGCCCTGACATTCTATGCTTTGTTGGTAAACCCACAAATTTCTGCTCCTGGTTTGTTGTTTTCTAATTGTGAATGGGTTGTTGTCTAGAACTGCATCTGTCGAGTCTGGGATGCATGTGTTGCGCGCATGTGCATGCCTGAGCACTTGGTCTTGGGGAGGTTGATGGGAATTTCATTGTTGTTAAACAAACAAACAAACAAGAGCAAAAAAAAAGGTGTTGGAGGCCGTCAGATCTGTTTTGTGTGGTGTTTCACAAACGTTTCGAAGTTTGCAGAAAGCCAACACATAAAAACTTTCTGGCGAGGGAGATATCCCGGGCGCCGGGGTCCCGACGTCACGCCCGGTTTGGCAACTGGGTGACCGGCCGGGCATGACCCCCAGGCATGGGCCCGGGCAGCCCCAGTGCAAAAAAAAAAAAATAATAAAAGTGTTGTGTATAATTGTGATACAAACAACTTTTGGCTGAGGGTCACATCAGAATTCCTCACGGAACTGAAGATTAAAAAAAAAAAAATTAAAATCACATGAAGGCACCTCCCTTTAAACCCCTTTAGCCCCTTCATTTATACTCCCCTTCCGCCCCCTTGACAGCCAACACTGAAAAAAAGAAAAGAGCCAGGATTTGGGCTCCTCGGAGAGCAAGGAAAACACCCAGCGAGCAAGGAAAACACCCACCGCCAATTTGTTTTTCTTTTTTTTTTCCCATGCTCGGATTTCCGGGGCTTCACGCCCAAAAATCTTCCCAGCTTTCTGTTTTTGTTTTTTTTTTCGTGGCTTTTCTGGCCCCTTTTCCTAAGTCATACTCAGCAAGAGGATGTTGGAATTGACATGTCCATCCTGCATTGCATTTGCCTGTTTGTTTTTGTATCTTGTCCTGAAGATTGTTGGCAGCACCAAGGCCTTACAGGCGATTGCAGGATTAGTCTCAGAGCGGGATGCAGCTATTCGGAATGCAGCGTTGACCACACTCGCAACTGCGTACAAGATCTTAGGTAAAGTAATATGCATTGTCGCATGGACTTCCCACTAGTAAATTTCATGATCTCTCTGTCTTGTTGATGTCGTTTCAGAAAGCGATGGAGAGAGAGAGGGGGGCGATGCATCCATCCTTTTCTTTTATTTTGGATTGTTTAATAGAGAGAGAGAGAAAGGGGGGGGGGGGGGTTGAATGCATCCTTTTGAATCGTTTTTTATTTGTGTGTGTCTGTGTCAATATCCCCAAACTCTCTCTCTCTCTCTCTCTCTCTCTCTCTCTCTCTCTCTCTCTCTCTCTCTCATTCCATCCACATACCATGACAAACCATTCATAAACAAAAAAGAGTATGGATGAGCAATACAATAGAAGGTGCAAGGTTCCCCTTGTTTGTGTGGTTGAGCGGGAAGGCCCACACACCCTTTTGAATCGTTTTTTATTTGTGTGTGTGTGTGTGTGTCAATATCCCCAAATTCTCTCTCTCTCTCTCTCTCATTCCATCCACGTACCATGAGAAACCATTCATAAACAAAAAACAGTATAGATGAGCAATACAATAGAAGGTGCAAGGTTCCACCCTTTTGAATCGTTTTTTATGTGTGTGTGTGTGTGTGTGTGTGTGTGTCAATATCCCCGAACTCTCTCTCTCTCTCTCATTCCATCCACATACCATGACAAACCATTTGTAAACAAAAAAAAAGTATAGATGAGCAATACAAGAAGGTCCAAGGTTCCCCTTGTTTGTGTGGTTCAGCAGGAAGGCCCACAAACCCATGTGCCACTGAAGTGGCACACTGGCAACCGGGGTTAAGGTGATTATCACTTACAGTGTAATCAGTTAGGGGATTATGCAGACTGTTGAGGGCTCAGCCTCCTGACGAGTCGGTGAAACTCCGACGAAGCAGTTTGTCACCGCCCCTCGTTTATGCTCCTCTTCTCCCTCTCTGTCTATGGTTTACCGGGCAGCTCTGTTTGATGATATATAGTTTTGCAATTTATTAAAAAAGGTAAAGGGGAGAAGGCAACATAGATGCATCCTTTTGAATCGTTTTTTATTCGTGTTTGTGTGTGTGTTTGTGTGTGTGTGTGTGTGTGTGTGTGTGTGTGTGTGTGTGTGTSAACATCCCCAAACTCTCTCTCATTCCATCCACATACCATTGCAAACCATCCATAAACAAAAGAAGTATAGATGAGCAATATAATAGGTGCAAGGTTCCCTGCATTTGTGTGGTTGAGCGTGAAATGCCCACACACCCATCTGCCGCAGACGCGGCACACTTGCACAAATATGTATATATATAGTTTATTGAAACTCCGACGAAACAGTTTGTCACAGCCCCTTGTTTGTTGTCCTCTTCTCTCTCTCTGCCTACGGTTTACCGGGCAGTTCTGTTTGTGACGATATATAGTTTATTCCATCTATAAAAACAAGGTAAAGGGCAGAAGGCAACATACCTAACACAGAGGTTCCACCAGCAAGAAGTGCGTGTGTGTGTATGTGTGAGATAGAGAGAGCGAGGGAGAGAGAAGAGGGAGGGTAGATGCATCCTTCTGGGTCGTTTCTGATTTCCATGTTTCATTCTTGTGCAGGGGGCATTCTTATCTTCTCTGCATTGTTCCAATGTTAAGGCATCGTTTTGTTGAAAGTCCAGATATCAGAAGTTGAAAGTTTGTAAGTACTGATTATTCTTGCTTTTTGTTGTCCTGGTTATTACTATGATGTGCAGGGGATGACGTGTGGAAGCAACTGGGAAGACTTGCTGATGCCCAGAAAGGTCTTGTGGATGATAAATTCAAGTGGAAGGTGAGTTCTAGGCGAGGGATTTTGTTCTTTCCATTTTTGTATCACGTACTTCGGCCATATATGGGCAGGGGGGGAAATTCAAGTGGAAGCGTTGCTAGTCGGCTGAATTGGGGCGCTCTCCGTGTGCCCTGTTCGTTCAGCCACGGCCTGCACGTTAACGGCTGTGACTTGAGGAAGTACTGGTGCTTTAACAGTAGTAGCTTATGTTGGGTCAGAGAACAGAATGTGCACAACTCTCTCGTCGATTGTGCACAAAAGGTGGTCGGAATTACACAGATGCAAGCGTGCGAATTATCTACAGAATATGCCAGCTAGGATGGGTCCATGAGTGGGGCCATTCTGAAGGATCACGTACTTTGGATGTGCACAACACTCTTCGAGAGAGTAGTGCACAAAAGGTGGTCGGAATTACGCAGATGCAAGCGTGCGAATTATCTGCAGAATATGCCAGCTAGGAGTGGGGCCATTCTGAAGGATCGTCCGTGCTTTGCTATCCTGAAGAGTGCTGTTCCACAGTTTTGTTGTAACTTGAAGGCAGACCCCACTGGCGCTATGTTCATGCTAAGAAACCATGAACTGGGTCACTATTGGGGCCAGATTCATGCTTCCCAAGCATTAACATAGCTTTATTTGGTCAGAGTTTGTGATCGCATAGCGAAGGTATCCAGGAAATGACCTGTCTAGCATCCAGGGAATGACCTGTCTGGCTGTGTCAGCAACAAGTTCACGACTGGCCTGCAAAATTCCATGTTCTCAACTGGGTAAGGTGCCCCAATGTCCACAGAAAAGTGGAGGAAGCATGCTGGGCTCTCTCGTGATCTGGCCAGTGTGCCAGATGCGTCCCCTATTCGGAAATCTTGAGATGTGGATGGTATGGATGGAATTATATTGGTTCTGACACGAGAGTGAGGGGTGGGGGGTCTGTCAGGGGGCTTCTGAGACTACTGTTATTCTGCACAAGAACCCTGATCGATGTGCACGCATTCTTGTGCTGCACGTCACGGGATAAAGGTGGCAGATGTGCACATGCTGAAAGATCTTTTTAAGTTTTTAGGTTGTGCTTATGAACCCATGAGAAGACTGGAGGTGTTACACCGGGTTGGGAGTTGAAAGAAAGGCCCCAGAAACTGGGAACTAACAATGTGGTGGCTTGGAAGTTCGAGCGGCAGTCGCTATGCAAAGAGCAGTGACCTTTTGGGTCAAAAGCCAAATTGGGGGTACACTGGGTTGGGAGTTGGATGAAATGGCCCTAGAAACTGGGAAGTTGCAATGTGGTGGTTTGGAAGTTCGAGCGGCAGTCACTGTAGGCAAAGGAGCAGTGACCTTTTGGGTCAAAAGTCAAATTGCACAGAGAGAGAGAGAGAGAGACAAGACAGAAACCGGCGGGTTACAGAATTGGTCCTGTCAGATAGCACGAATATGTTCTGTTTTCACATCTGTGCGTGCATAGCTGTTCTGGCTTTACTTGTTGAATCCGCTTCTGGATATAGGCTTTCATATTGATTGGTGAATTTATGGTAAGAGAATATTTACGGCCGGCGCTAGCTGTGACCTGTCCTCACAGTGAGCTTATTTCAAAGCATCATTGGTCATGTTGTTTTTGTTCATGCACTGCCATGTTTGTGTGAGGTGGTGGATGGCTCAGTCTGCAGACGGGGGCGTTTTTACATCTCAGTCTACAGGTAGTTCAGTTGCCACACCACCTTATTTGTGTCAGGCAAGGCCAGATAAGCCACAACTAACTCTTTAAACCCCCATTATTGCGGAACGCATCCTTGCAATACCGATGTTTGCCCGTGGAACTGATTCGGAGCTGACATGTGGGCAAAGACCTACTGCACACGAGCCTGGAAGGCCGAGCCTTTGCATGGAATGGGGGAGACCTAGATGGGAAGAATAGTGGCGGCTTAGTAGCAAATGTAATAGTGGAGGGCTGGGTAGGGGGGTGAGTTGATTGTACTTTCACATAAGCCAGAGGTGTGGACTGACCACATGCCTTTTTGTATGTGTGACAGTGTGTTCGAAAGTGGTATGGGGGAGAGAACTAGATGGGAAGTTACTGAACCCATGATCACGTTTGCAAGTGACAAGTCTCTGTAGAGTCTGTACTGTCTGTCACCCGTTCCCGGAATCCCAAAGATACCTACCCTTAGGGTTGTACCCTAGGTTGATCGTCACGTGGGGGCTTCTTGGGGTGTGATGCCCGTCAGTGGACCGGCCTGAATTCTCCAGAATCTGGGCATTATAACCTGGGCGGATCAGCTATGGATGCGTCTGAAGTCTGTTGCCCTATAATGAAAAAAGAACAAGACGATATCTGACTTCGTTTGTACCTCTTTTGTGTTTGTGTGAAATTTGTATGATGGGCTTGGCAGGCGCGAGAGATGGAGAGGAATAAGGAAGGAAAGCCTGGAGAAGCTCGAGCTCTGGCGAAGGGGAGGGCCGCTGCTGCCGTTCGGAGCACAGGGTACGAAATTTCTGGCGAAGGGGAGGGCCACTGCTGCCGTTGTGATTTCAAATTGTGGCAATTGATTTGCTACTTGCCCGGTTGTGATTAATCAATCTCTGTGGTAGGAACCACACAGGTTTCAGTAGTTTGTCTGCTGTCTTTCATTGTTCAATGGAAATCCTTTTCTAAATACCAAGGGATCATCAGTTCATTGGGGTTCACAGATTGCGGTTTAGTAATCTGCCTATTTTTCTGTGCGTTTTTGTCCTGGTCCTGTTTCCCTTTTTTTGCGTGTTTGTTTGAATGTGTATGCAGACCCGAGGCAGAGCAAAGTGGGGACACGAGGAAGGAGATGGCTGCACATGCCATGGGAGCAAGGTCAGTCAGCTGAATCCAATAAACCTTTTGTTTTCGGTTCCCTTTCACCTCATGCACGTTGATTGGTCAGATAAAGAGTGGACCTTTTTCGTGTAACGTTGTTGGAGAAATCAATCAAGCAAACGTCAATTTGCGGCCTGACTTCACTTTAATGGAGATGGATGCCGCCCAAGCGGCCTAACTCAGTTGGCAGAGCCCCCCCACGAAAGTGGCACTCAGGGGGTTGTGGGTTTGATTCCCCACAGTCCCCAAATCGAGCCCCCACACCTCCTAAGGCACGCTGTGCGTTAGTCAGCTTGTCCCTCCTGGTTGGTTGGTGGCGAATGCCACCCTAATGGAGATGGATGCCATTGGATGCAGGAAGCTTTGAGCATGTGCTTGAGCGGTGAATATGTGAACATGTGGTCTCCAGCCTTTTAGGCCCAAGTTGGCAAACGCCGAGAAAATGAAGAAAATATAGACGGAACCATTGAGCCTAAGCTGAGTTGGTACACCCTGGGAGTGTTGAAATACAGGCCTAAGCTCAAATCATGATGGACCTAGGCATACACACAGTTTGTGGAACGAATGGTGCCGTAATTGTGGCCAAGTGCATCCAGGAAACGATCCTAGAGTGAGTACTCCGTAAGCAACTGTTGTAGTCGTGTCTTAAGCAGTATGATTCTCCTGTGAACAATGAAAATCATATGTAAAACACAGGATGCAATGGTGGAGATTTTTTTTTTCTTTTTTTTCTTTTTTTTCTTTTTTCTCTTTTCTGTTTTCATTGGTGAATGTGGTGGAGATTTCAGAACGGCCTGTGGAGTAATGGAAGTCTTAAAAGCCGACTTGCGGCTTGTTTAACTAATTTCGTAATTTGAGCTTATTTAATATTTATCCTTACGAAACCCTACTCTAAATTTTGTTCTATAGCATGCTGTGTTTTGTATATTTGTTTCCAACTCTGCGGCTTGTTTTCTTGCAGAACCGCAAATGGTCACTTCGCACCAGCAGCAGCAGGAGACCACCACGTGCATGGTGGTGAGCCGGAAGGTCGCCCGTCATATGGGCCTACAGATTGGAAGCAAGCGCTGGAGTACATCCACAGAGGCTCTACAAACAATGAGGTAAAGTCCAGGGTACAGGATTGGAACGAGGTCCAGGATTGGAACCAGGTTCTTGGGCATGGATTGGTGGTAAATGGTTTGCCTTTCCTGCTTGTGAGGGTTTGGATGGCTCCCCTATCGTTATTCTTTTTTTTTTTTTATCGTTATTCTTTTAATGAAATGTGAAAGAGAATGTGTCTAGGAGTATTCTAGGAATATAAATTATATAATGGATTAGGCAGGAACAGGTGTCAGAGAGAAAATGTGGCATAGTTTCCCCATCATTGGACCATGTCACTAGGAGTAATCTTTCCTGTCTAGGAATATGATGGATTAGGCAGGAACAGGTGTCAGTGAGAAAATGTGGCATAGCTTCCCAAATGTTGGAGGATGTGCACACTAGGAGTTTTTTGGTTGAGCTCTGGACATAATAGCTCTAGGTCCGGCTGTAATTGCGACCAGATACATCCACCGAAGTCCTAGTGTGAGTATCCCCTTGATGTCATAACATGCATCGTCGAGCTCTTGTAAGCCCAAAAGCTGCGTAGCACGGCGAACGTGTTCGCGACCCTTTCTGTTCGGGCAAACACGTTCTCCCGTTCGCGCGAACGGGTTGAGAACACGTTCGCGAGAACGTATTTTCGAGGCCCGCGAACGGGGTTCGCCTGGGCCGGTACCAGTTGCCGACGGGGCTTTGGAGGGGCCTGGGGAGCGGTGGTGTGTGTGTGTGTGTGTGTGTGTGTGTGTGTGTGTGTGTGTGTGTGTGTGTGTGCGTATCATACCTGCAGCGCGCACGTGATGCAGTGCACCCCAATATATAGGATATAAAAAAAAAAATTCGGGGAGGGCTGGCTGAGGTAGCCAATGGTCCCCCTCCCCCGAAGGACCCCTGCAGTGTATCTGCAAGGGTCCCAACATCTCGAGAGACATTGAGCGGAATTCGTGTGAGACACGAGCAGGCCAGCAATATATGGTCTGGTTTCGAAGTCAGGTCTGCTTTCTAGCAGTTCTGGGTTACATTACTACCATAGCTCTCTGTTTCTTTTGTTTCGTTTTCCTACGAGCAGTGGCCCTAAGAGCCTTGCTCCACTCGTCAGTACTTGCATAAAAGACAACATATGGCGGTGTATGGTTCCATGTTCCAGCAGAAGATTCATTTCTCTTTCTTTTGTTTCGTTTTTTTTTTTTTTTTTGTGTGTCGTTTTCCTACGAGCAGTGGCCCTAAGAGCCTTGCTCCACTCGTCACTACTTGCACAAAAGACAAAACATATGGCGACGTATCGTTCCATGTTCTATCAAAAGATTCATTCTATTTTGCACACTTGGTGAGCAGTGGAGGGAAGCCCTGAAAAGCACGTGGTGAGTTGGCCTGCCACTGCCCAAAAACTCGCGTTCTCAGTGGTCCCATAACTGCTGAAACACGGACCTTAATGTGAATCAACAGCATATATACTTGGCGTGCCGGGGGGAAATGGGGTGGATCTGGTGGGGGGCAGCACCATTGCAGAGATGATGGATCTGCAGATACCAAGGGGGTTCAGGGATACCACCTATGCCCCCCCCACCCCTATAAAAAAAAAATAATAAGAATAATAATAACAAATAAAACTACGCTCGCGGTCGCTGTTTTTCGGAGCCTGTTTACGTTCGGGCGAATGTGTTCGCGTTCGCCGGAGAACGCGAACGGGGTGCTACGCAGCCCAAAAGTTATGAGCGTGTATCAGCATGCTGTCCTGGCACCCAGTTCCAATTTCCCATGCACATAGGCCCTTCTGTTGCCTGTTCTTGGTAGGTTTTGTACATGGAGCCATCCGTACTAGAGCATTCCAGTAGGTTAGCGTCTGTAAGTACTGTAGATGTCTGTCGAACACAGTAGGGGCCAGTCTTTAGATGTCGCCCTCATGTCTATTTGGGGTGAGTCGCAGCTCAGTCCCAGGAAAGTCGAACTGCGGTTTGAACCACTGGTGGCTGCAGCTGCCAGGACCATTGTCACAAGTCTAACAACGGTCTGTAGCAGCTACAGAAGTCACAGCAGGGTCGACACTTCCGGCTCATGCTACTGTTCCGGAAGCACTGCTGCGTTATGGTGCGACCTGGCCACTAGGGAAGCACTGCTGCGTTATGATGTGACCTGGCCACTAGTGAGAGTGTGGTAGTGGGGTTTGTTGTTAGTCAATGGTGCCTGGCACAATAGCTTGTAATGATGGGGGGGGGGGGGGGAGAGGGGGAGAGAGAGAGAGAGAGAGAGAGAGTTGTGGCTGTTGCCGGGGGTCGTAGCTGCCAGACTTTAAGACATTTGCTATACATCAGTTTGGATTTGCTAACCATTTGTAAGTGGTGCTCTCACCATGTGATCTTACCCTGTTTCGTGTGAAGATGCATGTACTGCGTGAAATCAAGTGCCTGTGAATACCAGGTCATTGCAAAATACAGGCTCTATGGAAATAAGGCGCATAAATACCCAATGCTGCATAGGGAGGTAGAGAGAATAAATAACAATACTGGGCACTTTCGAGTCCGGTAATTGGAATGAGAAAAGTAGCAGGGAAAAAAAGAAAAAAGGAGACGGAATGAAGGACCGGCGGACAAACAGGAGACTGGGGCCGCAGTGTGAAATGAAGGATAGGCGGACAAACATACTTCAGAATGCTCTTTGCCTGTGTGGCAACAATAATAGCATGTATACAGCTTTGCGTTCTGTGTTTGTTAACTTCGTTTCCATGAAGCAAACCCCTATGCGATGCTTCAGATGGCTGGCTGTTTTCCGTGGAAGTCTTTTTTGTTTTTTGTTTTTTGTCATGGCTTTTTTTTTCTCTTTAAACCGCCACTACCTCCGAGCCTGATTTTGCCAACCCTGATTTTCACTGCGCACCGAGTTTTGTCGAGCCTGGGGTCCGTTGTGTTTCTTTTCTGGTACTCTTCTTAAAAAGGAATAAAAAAAAGCACGGCCAGACGTAATAAAAACGAAGTACACACAACCACAAAAAAGAGAAAGAACAAGAAAAAAAAAAAGAACACCCTTCTGGATGTGATACAAGGTAAATACCTGACCCGAAGTTGTTGTGCCAGTATTCCCTCAGTGAGGGCTTCACGGCAGGGGTGTAAGGTCACGAGAAATCGAAGGAAAAAAAAAAACTGAAACTGAACTTAGGGCGGGAAAGCAAGATGATACATTCTGCAAAGTTGTAGTGTGGGCATGCCCTCCTTCACAAAGTGTCAGCAGCCCGTGGACCGTGCCGTGCCTCCCTGGCAGGTCATGAAAACAAATAAAAGGAAACAAAAAGAACGGCAGCAACGACAACCTGAAACTGGCCACAATTGTAGTTAGATACTTTCTTGTCAGTATTGGTGTGAGCACAACTTCGTGCACGGCCGTCCTGGACTTGGTCCTTGGTTTTTCTTTTGCTTTTCGAAGGGGCCCACAAGGCCGAACTACCGAGCCTCCGCCGACCCCTGAAGAGTTCGGAAAAAGTGGGAAAACAGCCAGTTTTCCCATTTTTCTCAACACTGGTGGAGGTAGTGGTGGCTTAAAAAAAAATGAATCATGCCTTGATTTATGTGTGGCATCCTTGCGCAGGGGCCATGCTAATGTTTTCTCTATCGCTCCAATTCTAATGGATGTTCCATAGGACAGTGGACACTTTTTTTTTCCTTCTGTTTTAACTTCTTTTGTTGTTGATTTTTCTTCTTTTTTTTTATGTTTTGTTTGAAAGGTGTCAATTTTTTGTCTTTTTAAGTTTTGATTGGTAAAACTAGAAATTGGTCCCCTGTCGCCTATATACATCGGATACCCATATACTCTACTTCCCTTATGGGTAAAACTAGAAATTGGTCCCCTGTCGCCTATTTTTGACAGTTTGTGTTTTTTTAACTTTTTTTTTTGTTTTTGTTTTTGGTTTCAAGTTTTTTCTCTGATTTGTAGTCTGCTGTCTTTTGCCTTCTCAGGTTGTTGAAGGGATGAAATTGGTATGTCAGCTTTTGTCCTCTGCGAGTTCAGATCCAACCGTGATTCAGACATTTGCCCCTGATGCTGACAGGCTTGTGGAGTACCTGACTTCAAAGGTACGGTTGAGTGGGTGTGACCCCCCCCCCTTTGTCTATTTCATTTTTGTCTTCGTCTTGTTAGGAAAAAATGTTTGGAAATGTGCTTGTACCAATGCACACGAAAAATGTGCTTGTACCAATGCAAGTACAAAGTCTCTCACCGCTTTGGCTTCAAAGTCTGTCACCGCTTTGGCTGACACGAAGCTGGGTGGAGGTAGGTGTGCCTTGTTTGTCTTAACAGACTAGCGTGAGCTATATGATAGTGTACTTCTGCGACAATCGGTATCAGACGTATGAACGTGTGCCATACGTGTGCCATACTTGAGAAGACCAACAACTGAAAAACACCCCAAATTGGAACGAGAAGACTAGCATGGTTCAGTGAGGTAAGCACTAATCCTTGCACAGCACACTTTCCACACACACCCACACCCACACACCCACACACCCACACACACACACACGTACACGCACACACACACACGCACACGCACACGCACACATACACACACACACACACACACACACAGAGCAGCCAGAACCGTATAGGAAGCTTCAAATGAAGAGGATGGTATGGATCAAGCTGCAAAGCGCTGAACAGTGTGAACACATGAAGATTTCGATCCAGGCTGACAGTGAAATTTCTGAGAACTCGTTTGTTCAAATGTGATTTTAAAAAATTGAAGAAGGGAAAAGGAAAGTGCTAAGGAGGCAGTTGTGCTGCGTAAGCCATTTCTTGCCACTGAGTTCTCTGGTTGGCTGGTGGATGGGTGGGTGGGTTGTTCTGACAGGTCACACATACCTTCAATCTGGGACTAAATGGGGCATCAGCGAGATCCTGCAAATACGTCCTGAACACATTGATGCAGGTAAGGAAAGGCTAGTCTTTGCAAGTCTCTGGAATCACAGATGTGTTTATGTATCTTCCAGTATCCTCAACCACCGCCCAGTTGTTTATCTAAGCCTCCAAGAATCACAGATATTTGTACTGTGCGAACGCCGCAAAGTGTTTTGTTTTTTTTTGTTTTGGCAGTGGCTTTTACATATCGTCTTTGAACTCCCCGGCCCCATGTATTTCCAGACTTAATTTACTCATCTGAGTCCATCTTGATTCATTTTTAACTGCGAGCTGTATTTCGACAGTTCATACTACCTCATAGATGTGTGCCAACTGAGCAAGGGCAGTTTGGTTATTGAGCAAAGTATTAGACTACTGCCCAATCATTTTCTCAGGTCTGCAGAATCACACACATGTTCAAGCCCGGGGAATCACATACGTGTTGCAAAGTCTCCAGAGTCACATATATTTTTAAGGTAAGGTTTGCTTCTGTCTTTGACCATTTGCAGTCCGTTCGGATGCTGTGGAGTTTGCTCTTATGTTGACAATATATCTCATGGTGCGGTACCATTGTTTTTGCTCTACATTGGTGCAGACGTTTCAAATCAAGGACCTTGCATCCATGGTACAGCAGACAAGTCTAGGCAATTTGATTGCAGAGCTGCTTATCTGGCTTTTGAACGAAAAGGTGCCCCAGATCGATGATGGAGGGCAGCTGCTGAAGGCCTTGAATGTCTTGATGCTCAAGATCCTGGTATGTCTCTCTCTCTCTCTCTCTCTCTCTCTCTCTCTCTCTCTCTCTCTTTTCAACTAGAAAGGTGGTCAGTTGTTTCTACTCTCTAATTGAGACAAGAATCGGACGTCCAAGGTTGATGTGCTGCTGAATATTTTAGTGAGCAGTTTTCAGTGCGTGATACCGCATTCCGTTAATGAACGTAGACGAGAATAGCATAGTGAATACAGCTGTCCCCCATAGCAGTTCCTGAAGTGCTGTGATGCTTTATGCCTGGTAGCATCAGAGATTGTTCCTCCCATGTGCCTGATTGAGGTGCATCTACCCCATGCATTTGTTCGTTTTTCTTTCTTTCCTTCTTTTCGCATCTCGCCCATGGATTTATTCCTTTTTTCTTTCTTTCCTTCTTTTTGCATCTCGCCCATGGATTTATTCCTTTTTTTTTAATTTCCTTCTTTTTCTCTTTTTGCTTTTGACAGCGACTTGGGTCCTGGCTCCCTGTCCGTTCTGGGGAGTGTCATCCAGACTCCCTTCCACTGGCAAGAATGGAAACTGAATGCAAGATATACCCAACTCCACACTTCCTTTCGTCTCGTCCAAAGGACCCCTGAGAAGCATTGGTTCCCGGTGCACTACTCTCCACTCCCGATTTCGGAGGGTTTTTCATGGTTGCACTAACTATCCAATTCCACCACTCGAAAACCCTCGGATACTTTTCAGAAACCACCATAGAAAAGCACTCTCCGCGGGTGGACAGTGCCTGGCCTGCAAAATTTGTTACACGGATAGACCTGAGCAACTCACCGTAGGACTCTGAATTTGGAGAGTGCCTGGAGTCTGGGTGGACAAAAAAACGCTGTCTTCTTATGCTGTCACGATGTCTGCTAGTGGACTCGGGACTTGGAGAGTAAGTCCAACGGTGATGAGAAATACACTTTGTCAAACTCTCCGCCTACTATACGACTTTCCAGACGGTGGAGAGTAATGCAGTGAAGACCCATTGATTGCTCCATTATGGAAGATTGACTGTCAGATATCACTCTTGCCGTTCACTAAGAATGTTGTAAATGCACGTATCAAAAAAAAAAAAAAAAAAAAAACAGCATGAGGTCCAGGATCTGCTCCTCTTGGAAGGCTGACTGGAGGTGCTGTTGAGTGATCTTTGAGCTAAATTATGTTCACAACCTCTGCATGCTCCGAACGATTTTGTGGGTCTCCAAACACAGAGGTATTTTATCCATGGCAGCTCGAAGGCTGCCTTGGAATCCAGATTGAGGACCTTTCCCCACCTCCTGTTAATTTCCGGTTAGGGATAGGCGATGCATTTCTTCTTTTTTTTTTTTTCCTTGTTTAAAGCCTCCATGAAGGATGTAAAGAGGAAAATAGTCATATCAGCATTCCATTTTCTTTTTAATGTTGGCTACATTGAATGTTGGCTATATTGGATGTTGGCTATGTTGGATGTTGTTGGCTATTGAATCTTGGCTTTCATAATCAGTTGGTCACAACTTCATTGCTGAAGTTTTGTTATGTTGATTTGTTGTTGGTCGTGGCATGCAGGAGAACGCTAATCGCACCTCCTCATTTGTGGTGCTAATTGGACTTCTTCGCCCGTACAAGCGGGAGGTGGGACCGCCTGCATTGACAGCATTGAATCCAGAGGACACGACCCCTGGGTCGAGGATGCAGAGGTTCTCAGATCTTGTTGTCAAGTGCCTGATTCGGCTTACGAAGGTGTGATCCCATTCCTGGTCTGCAGTGTGCATCATCCGTTAGCTCTGGACTTCCTGGTCTGCAATGTACATAAGTTGTGAACAAACATGGCTTTTGAAGTGTCCCTTGCGCTCTGCCCGTGCTCTGCCCGCTGGCATTGGGTCTATTTGACAGTTGGGAAATGTTGTGATTGCGTGAAGATGTTTTTTTGGCTGTTGTTAGTCAAAAAACTTCTGGCTGGTGGAACTTCGGAGGAGGTTAGAAGATTGCATTCTGAAGTGTCTTTTTCTTGCTCCATTTCCTCCTCCTCTAGAAGAGATCATGAATTCATCTGGAATCGAAACATCCCGGGAGGTTTTTTCGGGCGGGGGGCGGCGGATGTATGGCTGTTTTCGGGCGGGGGGCGGCGGATGTATGGCTGTGTACTGGTGGTTTGAGCACCACAACCTGTGCCAGGCAATGTCTGGAGTCATCTGGAAACCACAACCTGTGCCAGGCAATGTCTGGAGTCATCTGGAATCGAAACATCCAGGGTTATTCTGAGGCTCGGACGGGCCTACTGGACCTGAATGGCTGGCGATGCCAGCCAAAAGAAAGAAAAGTGCTTTGCTGGCGCTATGGCAAAGCTTGGTGCGCAGTTCGTTTCTGCCATGGCGGAAAGAGGCTCGGAGATATTGGTGGTTTAATACGTAAGCCTCTGTTTTGCTCCCTGTGAAGATGGGGAAAAAAGGGACAAAGAAGGGATGAGACTAATGAGACCAGTGAAATGAAGAACGCAGTGGGGAGGTATATGGACGGAATTGTATGTTGATGTGATTCTTTCTTTTTTTCTTTTGTTTTTTAATTTGGACCATTTCTCGATTTATGCATGTCATTCTTGCACAGGTAGGTGGCATGCTAATCTTCTCTGGATCATTCCAATTTTAACAGATATTGTACCTCTTTCAATTAATTTTGGTTGCAACTTGATGGCATGCAGACGAACTGGGTCTTATCCTCCTGGGCTCTCCGTAAATGGACATGGATCCGGACTTTCGGACTGTCCGGATTCATGTAGAAGCCCAACCTAGGGTTTGTGTATGCTGGTTTCAAAAATTGTTTATGATTTCTTACGGATTCCAGTATAACCAAAAATTTGGTGTCTTTGTTTTTCAGGCACTGGGAAGCACTATCAATGATGTCGACCTCGACCGCCTGCTTCAGAGTATTCATGACTATCTTCAGGAGCTTGGTCTGGATGAAATCCGGCGAAGGTGCGCTTTCTGCACATTGGATTTCATTGCCTTCTGCGTGCCCTCACTTTCTTTTCTACACACTTGGTGTTCGGCATCGTCTTCTGTTGAACCCATGTTTTCAAATTCACGGCCTCGGGCAGATGGAGAAAACCAATGAATCACTTCGAAAAATCGGGAGACTCGGGCCTAACCAGACGACAATGTCTGGCTGTGTCAGCCAAACAAGAAAGAAAGTGTGCCGCTGGCGGCTTGGCAATATTGGCGAGCAGTGCGAGTCCGGCTGGCTCGGGGGTGTACTGCCTAGCGGTTTAAGTTATATTCGCCTACGTCTGGTTGGTCTGAACTTGCTGTAGGATCCAAAGTTCCAAACCAATGTACGAAGTTTTTTTTTTTTTTTTTTTTAAAAAAAAAAGAAAAAGGGCAACGGCCTTGAGATATGATCATTCAGCTGACCGGCCCGAGGCAATTCAAATCAGAAAAATTCAGAAGTATGTTGTTGTTGTTCATCTGACTGCATCTGAATTCGAGCTTGGGTCTGATAATCTGATTCATATTTCACCAGTTCATGGTTGTGCCAATGGAGCTAGACCTGTTGCTCATTTGACGTGTTTTCATCTGTCATGTTTATGATTTTACCGAACAAAAAAAAAGAAAAAAAAAAAAGCTCATTATCGGATTTGGATGAATCTGGCACCGCTTACCCTCAGAATGTCATCTTCACCATTTTCACAAAGTGAGATTTATTTCAAACACTAAAATTGACTAAATTAACAGACTGAATATAAAAGAAGGATTTGGCATATGTGTGTACTTTACTGCAGCAGCAGCTAAGTGAATCTGCACATCTAGCTCCCCCACAGTTGAGGTTACAGTATGGCGACCCGACCAATTGGAATCATAGAGTGAATCCTGTCTGCGTTGGTTCGTATACTGAACATCTATAGATATAATACTTGGAGAAGGAGATTCAATCAATCGATTCCGATGTATTTATATCACCTTTTTTTCTGACTATCGGACGGGCTCTCAGACATCTCTCTGTTTGATGATTGATGTCAAGACTTGTGCGTTATGGAGTCTACCATCACCGTCGCCAAACAAATAAAAAAAGGATTTGAAATATGTGTACTTACTGTAGTTATCCCAACCGATTGGAGTGATGGAGTTCGTATACTGAACGTCTAGATGTAATACCTGGAGAAAGAGATTCAATCAATTGTGATTCTGATGTATTTATTTATAATATTTATATCACCTTTTCTGTCTCTCGGATGGGCTGGGACCAGTAGGTCCTTGGGCAGATCCTACCCGGGTGGCCCGGCTGGTAGCCAAGAGTCCGGGCGGTTTTGTCTCGACTTAGCGGAATTTTCCCAGTTTCGAAATCGGATATTATGAATGCTATGGTGTGTGAAAGGGTCCAATTGCGTATCGATAGCGGCCCATACTCCTTGAGGTGGCTTATTGTACATAGACGGTACATTCAGGACGCACCATCACCGACTCTCGTTCCATGTCACTTGGGATGCAAAACCTCCGAACTGCCAAACCTGACGGCTCAGTAGCCTCTCCAAACAAAAAGTCAGTCCCTTAGTGTGGTACAGTCTTGTTATAGCACCCCTTTTGTGCTTCAGTTCAAAGTGAAATCCATCAATGAAACTGAATGTACCTTGCCAGTTTGTCATTTAACTCACCTGGGGGGTATTAATTAGAAATGATCAATATCAATTCTTTTTTTTTTGTTTAAACCACTAATACCTTTGCCGTCCAGTTTCGATAAGTTTTAGCCTAGTCTCGAACTTTTAGGAGGCCGTGCCCGACAGATCAATATCAATTCTTTTTTTTTTTGTTTAAACCACTAATACCTTTGCTGTCCAGTTTCGACAAGTTTTAGCCTAGTCTCGAACTTTTAGGAGGCCATGCCCGACAACGGCTGCCGTTGATAAATCTGATCGGCGGCCGTCATTTTCTTTCGGCCTCCTGAAAGGTTGGAGGCCCACTATTTTCCGAACCGACAATGGTACTAGTGGTTGAAACTTAAAAGTGCTTCTGCTGTGTATTCTCTCATCCGGCGTGGTGTGAATTGCCCTCTCCAAGATCTCTTGTTGCTGCGCACAGTGCACGTGTATGGGAACTGTGTGGATGCCATGTTGTATCTTGCTTCAAACAGGCAAATAACAGTCTGAAAATGTGTAGAAATTTGTAATTAGCGGATGAAAAACTCCGCACAAAAACAACAATCGGAACTTCCCATCATACTCTCTCCAATTTTCAGGGCTAACGAAAGCTCTTCGCATGTGCATCGTCTGCCATCTATGTATATCATTTGTGATGCAAGGAATCTCTTGTCTGGTGCTTATTTAATATTTATTATTGCGAAAATTTATTGGCCAGAATTCCCCAGAAATAAATATATTTGTGTTTTCTTGTTGCGTGCTGTCCACTTTGCCTTCCTTGCTGGTGCCATAGCCCTGAAAATGCTTACATTTCCGAGTGCCACATGCCGAATGCGCCGTTCTTTTCTGAGCATGCCATCTATACCTAGTGCAATGCAAGGAATTTCTTGTCTGGTGCTTATTTAATATTTATTATTGCAAAAATTTATTGGCCAGAATTCCTCAGAAATACATATATTTGTGTGTTCTTGTTGCGTGCTATCAATTTTGCCTTCCTTGCTGGTGCCATAGCCCTGAAAATGTTTACATCTGAGTGCCACATGCCAAATGTGCCGTTCTTGTCTGAACATGTATGTCATTCTCACAAAATTCAGTCATATCCTGAAAGCAGGAGCGGAATGGTGTTTTGCAGGGCTGGAGCGGATGACAAGCCGCTTCGTATGGTCAAGACGGTGCTTCATGAACTTGTGAAGCTTCAGGGCCCAAATATTAAGGGCCATCTTTCCTTGGTGCCTATCGATATGGAGCCGCAGCCAATTATCATGGCATACATCGACCTCAACCTGCAGGTAATGAATCCTTTTGTGACTAGCTTAGAGAGGGGCTGATTGGGCGCCACAATTCACTTTGCTTA